CTCGTGCACAGTACACATAATTCTGGGGATTTGCATGCGTCCTTGTGTTCGAGTATTTAATCGTGGTGGCCAAGAACACATTAGAAACTTGCAGTTCCAGATCCACGTTCATACAGCAAATGCTATGTAGTACTGCAGGTTGGCCTCTGCATGCCGAGTAAGACCAATGTCTCGAACCTAGGGTGATTAGTTAATGATGCTTTGTGCATCTGTCATCACGGCAATTTCATGTTCTTGATTTATGTCGTGCAGTATCTCGTTACTTCATGTTTGGCTGTTTTCTTGAGTGCGAAGAAGGTGCATGTCATTCATCGTTTTCCGGTTGTACCTGAGCGTTGCTTCCCGAAGCCAAAACTGGGCGTCATGCCGTGGCCACGTCCCCAATCAGTCGTTTTCCATGGATTGCGAGACGAATGCCCACGGCTGAGCACACGCGCATTCGTAACAGCTCTTGAAATCATGTCGGAAAAAAGAAACGTATTTCCAGGCGCAACAGAGGGGAGTCCTGTACGAAATGTGTTGGTATGGTACAATCTATTGCGCAACCTCAGACTCAATCCACCAAGCTCCAATCGATTCCCCCAGACTCGGTATATACATTCTAGTGTCCGGTGGCCTGGGCGGCGTTCTTCTGCCTCTTCTGGATGACCATGGCCTCGAGGTCCTCGCGCTCGGCCATCTCGGACTCGATCTCTGTGATGAGCTCGGCGAGGTATGGTGTGTCCTTTTGCATTGTCAGCATCTGGTATTCGGGGTTGAAGCGATATCCCTACATCCTCGGGCTTAGTCCACTCCTCCTTGGGCAGAAGCTGGTGGGACATGGAGAGCTGCCGCAGATTAGCCACATTTGCCTTGTTCTGTATATCTTGTTCGGTAGTACCTGGAAAGCTCGGCGCAGACGGAAGACACGGTCGTAGGCTTCCTGTGGTCGGAGACGCTTCAGGGCGGTCTGAACTACGTCGTTCTCCTCGGGGAGCAAGTCATCGGCCCTGCATCACAAATCCCGTCAGCCCATCATTCCACAGTCGGCCATATTCTCCACTCCCTCCTTCTGTATTCTTGTGTACACCGCGTCCGGATCGGGGCTCCGTACCTCAGACCGAGCTGCCTGTAGCCGGCGGCGTTGCAGTACCAGTTGGCGAGCGGCTTCATCCAGCGCTGCAGCCACGGGCGCTTCATGATGTAGGGGGCGAGAGACGGGGCAGACATGGTTGCGGGTGTTCGACGGCGGATCGGAGAGGTCGAGACGGGTGCTGTCGTCAATTGCAGTTTTGACGGTCGGAGGTGGTGAGGTCGTAATGCGAAAGAAGCGAACGCCAATAGGCCGGCGGGCAGCGCTTGGCCCGCCGCAGGCCTTGGTCTTAATCAGCGGCCTGTCCCCACCCGCCAGAGCAACTTCACTCGTGCTCCATCCTAGCTCTGACGTCTGCCCACAACCGTCCTCTCACACCCGGCTTCCGAGCGCATATCCTGGCACGAGGCCCGCACGCGACTGAACGCTTTCACCACGACTCCCTCACTGCCCGTCCGTCTGTCAATGGAGCCGAACAATCGCTAGTCATCGTGTTACTCAAGTGCTGCGGGGTTTCCGCAACACTGAGGCACCGCACAGGGGACGACGGCCTGTATGCGCCCACCCCTCTCGCCCCGCGCTCTGATTCAAGCTCTCTAACAAGTTGGCCATGGCAGTACCCCTCATGTCGACACACGAACCCGCGCCGCCGTCCCCGCCTAACACTTCCGACCGGTATGCGCCTTCCGCCGTGACAGTTGAACCGCGAGACATGTCCACCCCAAACCAGCAGCGCACCTGGAGCTCTCCCGTTGCCGCCCTCGCCGTCAGGGTCTCCAAGCTCCCCGACAGCTCCGTCAATGCTCTGTGCGGAGCGTCTGCCGGAGTTGCTTCGGGCATAGTGACGTGCCCGCTCGATGTCATCAAGACCCGCCTGCAGGCGCAAGGCTCTTTCCGCCCCAGGACGTACACCGGGCCAACGCGCACAGTGTACAAAGGCCTCACCGGTACTGCGCGGGTCATATGGATCGAGGATGGCATCCGGGGCCTGTACCGAGGACTCGGGCCCATGCTGCTTGGGTACATCCCAACCTGGGCCGTCTACATGAGCACTTATGAATCTACGAAAAATGTTCTCTATCCTCAGATGGGTTAGTAATACACATCGGTACGCAAGTTACTGTTGCTGACGAGACTGAACCCATAGAGAACAAATGGCTCGCTAGGACCATCGCCTCGTTGTTTGCTGGCGGCTGCTCGACGCTAGTCACCAATCCCATATGGGTCGTCAAGACAAGACTCATGTCCCAGGTCAGCGCCCGCGCATCTCCCGAACATCGGCCGCCATGGCACTACACAAGTACCTTTGACGCCTTTCGCAAAATGTACCTCAAGGAAGGCATTGCCTCCTTCTACTCGGGCCTTACACCTGCGCTTCTTGGCCTCACCCACGTCGCTATTCAGTTCCCGCTATACGAGTTCCTCAAGATGAAGTTTACTGGCCTGGAAATGGGCCAGACAGACAGCAAGACTGAGGATGTGCATTGGTTTGCTATTGCACTGGCAACAGTCTTGAGTAAGATGACGGCGACCTCGGCGACATATCCACACGAAGTCTTACGCACGCGTCTGCAAACACAGCAACGTTCGCTGCCCTCGCACTCCGATAATAATGTATCGTTTCGAGGAGGCCAGCACGACCGCTTTCATACCCGCCCTCCTGGCACGGCTTCGTCGGATGGTATGATAAACCTACCCCGCTATCGCGGTATCTTGCGAACATGCACAGTCATCCTCCAGGAAGAGGGATGGAGAGCTTTCTACAACGGAATGGGGACTAACATGGTCCGTGCTGTACCTGCTGCAGTCACGACCATGTTGACATTCGAGTCGTTGAAGGCCGTTCACCAGAAGCTAAAGAACGAGGGTAGGAAGATAGAGAACGAGGTCGAGTGACGGTAGATATCTGTCTTTCGTCTCTCAATTCACAGAAACCGATCGGCATCATTACCGGGCGTTTAGTCATGGGTTAGGAGTGGAAATATCCCAGTGAGCACTCCTGTTCTGTTTGTTCATACGTTTGTACGCACAGGGCAGCATTTTCGGGCACTGTCAGCATCAAAGCTTTGGCGTTTGTAGGGCAATATGGTTGATTTCCTATAGGCTGTCGCAAGTGCGAGCAGATTTAGCACTTGTTTGAGAGGCACCATTTACATGATTATCTAAATATACTACTAGGAGAGTATTGGTTCTAACAGGTGCATTGTTGCCAGGCCTCCTGGACAAAGCATGCCAACAGGGCGGTCAGCGTCGCAAACGCAGCGCCGCATACGCTGAATTCATGAGCACCGCCAATAACGGTAAGTTGACGTGTCTACATTCTTCAAGTGAGCGAAGCCCCATTCGCTGAGGTTGGAATTGACAAACGCCCACGCCACTCACCCTGGTTCCGCGATCATGCAGGCGCACCCTTCCTGAAGTGCACATGCTTCACGCGTCAGACTTCACACCCTTTGCTAGGCTATATACCTTGTATGTTAATCGTGCCCATTGTCTTGGCTTTTTTGCCGGCACACCATCATGATTCCGTGTCCCGCTCCCGCAGAGCCGCACATAAGCCCACCACCCATACCTGTCCGCAGCCTGCTACGACACGGCTCAGCATATCAAAAACGGCTGCGCGCTATCTTTTCCGAGCCTACGAATGCAACTAGTGTTCCATCGTCTCCTACCTCACAAACCCTTTTCGACGAACTTGATCGGGAGTTGACGGAAACAGAACAGAGACTGGTCAGCGTCAACTTGGAGGGAAAGGATATGAGTGACCAGAGAGAGTGTCTGCTCTGGGATAATTGGGAAGGGAGCGATACATCGACTGAAAGAGGGCTCAAGAGTGACAGTGGTGGTGCTCCGGGAGACGGCTGCTTCAGTGAACTCGAATCTGAAGCGAGCGATGGAGAAAACTATCCCGAACCATTGCGACTAAGTGAGAGAAGCGGGGATGTTGTGGAGCAGATGGTGGTGCAAGGGCGCGTGCCGGGACAACGAGGAAGTCGCGACGGTCCACCTTCTGCCATCCATACTGATCACACAACGCGCTCTGAGCACAGCTCACCGTCCTCTGATTACAGTATTCAGACAATGGACACGAAAGTTTCCGACTGGCTGGAACACGGGTTCCATACCTCTGAATCTCGGGAACCAGATCCTCCACGACAGGTCTCCAGCAACTCCGATCGCCCCTTCCCTCCCAGACATGCTGCCTTCTCACTTTTTCCACCAACGTCCCCGTCGACCGGTAACAAAGAGTATACACCACCCAGCAGCCCTTTTGCTCGACCTGCTTGCCCGATGTCCCCGTTGAACAACGGAAGAGATGTTTATGGCAACTACATACCTTCAAACACGAAGGACTATTTCGCCCCGCAGTCGCCTCCAATGTCGCCCAATATGCAGGCCATCCCGGAAAGCCGGGTCTCTTTGGATCAGGGTCAATCACCACCCATGGTGCGTCTCCGTGGTGGTGGCTGGAATCTGAAGGGACTGTGGAAGACATCCGATACTGGAGGCTCTGATCAAAGCCCTGGTTCAACTTCTATGCCACATCTGACTGGCAAGGATGCCATTGTGCGGGACTCACCTACAATCAGACACGCTGGGCACCCGGAGGATCAGGTGGCGCGAAGTGTGCGATCGCACTTCTCGACCACTCGCGATGGTAACAAGACAAGGACAGCACAAGGAATTCCAGCAAGATCATCCCCTATCGATACTAGACGACATGGTCAATTCCCCGTTGGAGGGGGCGACGTCAGGCCAGGCTCGAATACGCCAGACTCTGCAGGCACGGACGATAGCTCTGTTCCCCGAGCTCGTGCTGATGCAGTCTTGTACCAGTACTTTGGGGCTCAACTATCTCCGCTCGTACCGGCATCCCAGGGGATGACATCATTCACCGTTCCAGCGCATCAGACAACTCATAGCGGAGATGATGTACCAGTGATGAGTGGGCACCGCTCGCCTCGTATCGACGGGGCTCTCGCTCAATTCAATTCTCGAAGTGCGCTTTCCCCTCGGAATGACGATGCGCGCGGCTCTACAAGCCCCTCAAACCCGGAAACAAAGACTGAACATGAGCTATGGGATGCTGTAGGATCACAGGAGACTCCGGATATTGATGGCACAACTCCAAGTCATCTGGTCAGTCCGAGGGACAAGAAGAGATGGGATAGAAATAACCCTCCTCCGCCACCAAGACTTCCTCCGCCGAATCCACCCAGATTTCTGCGAACTGATCCTCCCGATGACGATGATGCCTCCGAATACACCGACGATAGCCATCCAATTTCCTCCGTGGTAACCGCCAATATGGGGCATGATCAGCTAATTGACCTTCTGGATCTGAATAAGACCGATGTGTACAGAAGGGTTGAGCGTGAGCGCGAGGTTCGACGTATGCAAGCACAGAGAGATTGGCACGAGGAAGCAGATCGTAGACGCGATGTAGACGTCAGGCGGCAGCAGCAGGGGGTACTGGGATCGCGAGAGCCTGATCTGGACACTATCTCACCGGACGACAGCGTCACTGCAGTAATGCGGCGCCAGCAAATCGAGAGACGGCATGATTTGCAGCGTCCGGCAGCTATGGACGAATATCGCCCTACCAGCTCACCGACACCTTCGCAATATCTACCTCGCCATGGTCCTATCACAGCTAAAGCTAAGGCCATATCCCACCAGCAAAGCGGCCGCATTCACACGATTGGCTACCCGTCTGTTGTGCCTGCCCCTGCAACCTTTGAGCCAGCTTCCATCAAGCGGAAGCACTCTCTACAAACAGTCCTCTCCAAGGCAGGAAAACTCACACGCCTGATCCTCGCTGCTCCTTCGGATCCCAAGTACAAGACGTATTCACAGCGACAGCCTCCGGTAAAGCAGTCAGGAATGAGTGCCGATGCCACTGGGTGGCCAAGAAGTGGAAAAGCCTCTTCAGCAAACCATGGGATGTTCATGTCAACTCCGGCACCACAGCAAAGGACTATATTCAGCCGCGATCGGCCGCAGACTAGTGGGGATGATGGGAAGAAGTCGGACAGCAGGGGTTGGGAGCATCCAAGAGGCAGGAGAGCGAAGAAAGTCGAGAAGGTGGAGACTAAGAAAAGGAGAGGGAGGTGGGGAAGAAAAACAGATGATGAGACGTCCGCTGGAGATCCTCAAGTCATCGACTTTGCGTCCAAAGACACTGCTCGGTCGAAAGGTGCTACAAGGCTTCAACACGCACGTCGCGCACGTTCGCCATCACCAAAAGCTCTAACGCGAGCCGCTGAGCCTCATAGTGTTCCTGTCTCCAAATCTTCCACGTACCATCACCCAGAACCCGATTTCACGCCTAGCGACGCAGCAGGTACACCGCAAACAAGATTTGGCCCACCAGATCGCGAGGGAAAGTTATACGTTCGCCGCCGCGATGGGGAGGTCCTACCATTCAATCCCGCACTGGGATATCCGTACCACTCACGTCTCAACACCTACTATGACCACAAGACGGTAGATGCCACAACGATGGCCTGGCTACAAGGCATCCGCGCACAGACCGATGCGATTCCTCATCCCATGATCAACATGCGAGGCGGCGACGGTAGCATCTCTTCCGAACTTCGTTCTACGCATGGCGAAGCGAGCAGTCTGGCATCGCACCACCACCTCCTAGCGTCAGCGGCAATGAGTCTGGATAGTGGCGACGAAACAATCGATGGTACCGATATAGACGCCCTACTGATGTCGTCCATGCATCTCAGTTTGGGTCAGGTTACGCACAAAGCGACTGCTGCCGTCAACGGTACCCAAGGAGATGGAGGGGACAACAGGCCTAGTTGTGATGAAGCCCACATCCGATCGAGCTTTAGCACTGATTCGACAGTGGAGCTCAGACGGGAGAAGAAGGTCAAGGAGAGTGCCTGGCGGAACGAAGACCAAGCTAGGGCTATGGCTATGGCTATGCATGGTTTTGGGTAGGAGTACCCGGGTATGGAAACTTCTCGGAATGATCATGGGACATATTAGACATGAACAAATTTCCGAGTATGAAGGGGATGACTCTTTCATGGCTTTAAGGCTTACAACAAACCGGCATGTAAGCCAGGTCACGATTTCACATGCATATCTGCGATAAAATCTCTTACAAATCTATGTAACATTTCAAGAACGCCTCACGCATTCCAAAACAGTACCCTTGTTATACAGAGTTGAGATGATATCCAAAAGACGCCATTCCATGCCAACCATGCTCATCAAATCATCAATAATCGCAGTGATTATAGTCATAAAGCGAACCCATGCCCGCCGCCGTAAGCGCAAAGTCAACCGTCTCGCTCCTATCCCAAAAGTACTCGCGCATCCACGTCGAAACCATATCGAGAGCCGAAACGGCCGAGTTGCTCGACCACACTTTTTCGTGGCGGGCCCAGGAAGAATGCTGCCACAGCGTGTCAGGATACTGTTGCTGCAGCATTGGGAGTAGCGAGCTGGGTGCTGCGGCTCGTGTGCCATGTAATATGCCGGCTTGAACGAGGGGATAAATTCCTGAGGCTAGGCTCATAATGGCGATGAGATTGGGGTTGAGACATTGCGAGGTGAGGAAGGAGGTAGCTTCTACTGGCATTGCGGTCGATGAGAAGGATCCAGGGATGACGAGGATGTCGAATTGAGGCGCGTTGTCAAACGAGTTCTAGTTAAACGTCAGTCACAGTACTCGAAAAAAGGAGTTGAAGCGAATAGTGGGTAGGGGCTCGTGTTGACCTTTACCTCCCTGCCAGACTTGTCAGAGATGACTACTTGAAGGCAGTCAAGACCAGGCGAATCCAGCGCGACCAAAAAGGGTGGCTCTTCTTGGCCAGAGGAGATGGCTGTTTGGAGGGTATGAATGGGTGGGTGGGTGGTCGTGTCGATCGTGGGTTCGATACGGAGCAATTCGAAGCTTAGCTCACCGTCACCGGCATTCGCGTGCCAGCCGTGACAGGAAAACTCCCCTCTCCGGTCACACTGACATATCGAATGTCGATTTCGTCCACGGCCGAGTCCATGGCGGATGCCGTGGCGTGCATTCTGCTGATTCTGTTTCTTCCGACCATGGCGAGGAGGTCAAGTGCCGCTAGGTCGGCTAGTTGAACTTGGTCGTTGCTAAGTACTAGCACGCCGATGCGTAATGAAGATTTTGAAGGAGGGGCATAGTGGATGTTGAGATCTTCTTCGGAGGTTGATGAGGTGGTGCAGAAATAGAAGAGGTCGGCCTGACTCGGGAATGATATTGCGCTTCTTGGTGGAGACGGCATGAGGAAATGTGACGGTCGGTATGATAGAGTGGAGATTGAAATTGACTGATGAATATGTGTCTTGCTCGAATGAGCTGGTATGTATGGTAATGTTACCGTGCGGCCTCAGGATGGCTTTATATGCTCCAGGCCGTAAGCTCTCGTACATCCCTGAAACCAAGGTAGCAGTGAACAGGGCAAGAGTATTGTCAAGCGTCATATGGATACGCATCCACCACTATACGATGATCTGCATTAGTGAGGTGCGGCTCAGCCCCTTGGTGCCCTTGGAAGCTCGCTGACTCAGTCCGGTTAGAAGCCGTTCGTGACCGACTGATCCCGACCAGACTCGCTATCGTGCAGCAAGGCGTACACAGGCCCGTATCGCTTTGCGTTCGAGTCAAGTTGAATACGTGTATCGCGTATGGTAGCTCTGGTTTAGATGTAGCTGCCTGTTTTCACCTCGTAGACTTCCGTGATGAGAGACTAGGCATCGCAATTCGCATCCATGTCAGTGGACGAACGCGTTCGGTAAGCGGCACGCGTAACGGGAGCGCCGAAAACGCGGATAAGCACTTGAACGCATTGAAACAACTCCAAGATGATTAGACGGTGGCTGTGAGCGGAGTTAAAGGAAGAAGTCGGAGACGTTCAGATTGAGGTCAAGGCTAAGAGGTCCGGCGGAGCGCCTTAGGGCTCAGGCACCAGATTCTGCTGGTCAGCTGTCGCGGAATTACATCAGGGCCGGAGATTTGTTGTGACCAAGATAGCAATGGGAATTGTAATGGGTGAGTCTGGATACGGTGGCTTCGCGATGATGCGTGGCGACCCGGCTTCAGCTCGTGGCATGTGACGTCTGCGCGCCGCTTGGGGCAGGAGCAATCTGGTGGAACACCGAGATGCCGCGACGCTGGAGGGAGGACTGTGATGGCGCATGCGCACCGCTCTTGACTCTATCGGAACCCCTGAAATGATTCGAACGTGCTACAATATTGATGTGTTGACAATCATCGCGCCCGAAAGCGACTTTGGTATCTCACATAGTCAGGTGTGGATTTAGGGTGGGAGGGTATTCTTCATTTATTCGCTGCATCTACAAAATCGCACCAGATGTAGAGGGCCGTGGCGGCAGCTCAGAGCTTGCGCGCAAACACAGCCGTGAAATCCATCGCTCGTTGACCCAAAAAACAATATATGAAAAGGTTGTGGTAGATGCACGCTACGTTGCACTCTCTAGATGTCCTTGGCCTCACCGTCAGCCTCGCCGGACTTGACGGTCTTGCCAGTCTTCTTGATCTTCTCGAGGACGGTGTCGTAGGATAGCGAATCGGCGGCGGTGATCTCGGCGGTCTGGTTCTCGAGCGAGACGTTGAAGGACTCAACACCTGTGGAGTAGTTAGAACGTGATGCTCGGACCGCCGGCGCATGCTGCATCGGAAACTGACCCTCGAGCTTCTTGAGGACGCGCTCGATAGCGCCAGAGCAACCGCCGCAGCTCATGGCAACGTTGAACTTGTAGGTGTGCGTCATGATGTACGAGGTTTGTAGGTGGTGTTGGTGATAAAGTCGGAGGTTCAGTGCGGGTCGCGGGGCTTCGATGTGGCCTGGTTGTGTTTGTTTGATAGCCGTGAAGAGAGGAGCTGTGACTAGTATATATAGGTATCACTAGCGGAAGGACGTCGCGACGAGCGGATGAGCAAGTTTCAAGATGGTGGTGCAATTCGGCTAGATTGTTATAGATTGCCGTCGCGCCCCGCTGACATATTGAGCCTCCATCACGACATTTCCGGGTTGTGGAACCGCGCGCGCCTCAGCCATGTATGTACAAAGTCCGTGTCTCGTTTGACATGGCGATACTCTGGTGGCATGAAACATGCTCAGTGAGGGTCCGGGAGCACACGATCAGGTGTCCTCGCCGGTGCTCTGACATGGGGACACGGTGTCTTGGATGCCGCGACCCGTACATTGCCATGTCCACGTCTCGCATGTGCTGAGCCCGTTCCTGCAGGTGAATTGCTGAACCCTGAGGCCGCGCCCGCCCCACGTTGGCTAGCGCGGGGCTCAAGCTGCATCCCTCGCACGCCCAGGCGGTTGGGCGGTGACGTCGCCCACTGCCGCCTGTAAACACGGCCAAACATTTCTTGCCCATGACTTTGAGTATAGCAGCCAGCCAGCAGACGACACAACCCGCACCATGGCCAGCAACATCCTGTTCCTCCCCTTCCGGCGCTCGCACTCTGTGAACCTCACCGATGCCATCAAGCAGTACATATCCTCCAAATATGACCAGCATCCCGACATGTTCACCAAAGACCTCGAGACGATCGAGAAGCTGCGGTCCGTCGCCACCCACGCCCAAGAACCCCACCCGAGCAACATCCCGAAGCTGCAGCAGTACGCCGCGCAGCTGATATGGCTGAGCGGAAAGTTCCCCATCGACATTGGCGTAGAGTTTCCCTGGTATCCTGCGCTGGGGTACAACACGAGCCGCCCGACATCGCGCAACAACCTCCGCTTCGAACTCGCGAACATCATGTTCAACCTCGCGGCTATGTACTCCCAGCTGGCCATGTCGTCGAACCGGAGCACACCAGACGGGCTGAAGATGGCAGCCAACAACTTTTGCCTCGCAGCCGGCGTCTTGTCACACTTGAGGAACACTATTCTGCCGGAGCTGCGGACAGAGCCACCCGAAGACATGGACCTCATGACACTCGAGTGCTTGGAAAAGCTCATGCTGGCTCAAGGACAGGAGTGCTTCTGGCAGAAGGCTGTCAAGGACGGGATGAAAGACGCGACCATCGCCAAACTAGCCGCCCGCGTATCCGATCTATACAACGAGGCGGGAGACGCAGGCATACAATCGGACGCTATCAGCAGCGAGTGGATACATCATATGACGGCAAAACACCACCACTTTGCGGCTGCTGCGCAATACCGCGCAGCCTGCGATTCTCTCGAGAAGCGCAAGTATGGCGAGGAGGTCGCACGGCTACGCGACAGCCTTACGTGCGTCAACGAGGCTCTCAAGGAGCAGCGCTATATCAACAAAGTCGTGCTTGCAGATCTCAACGGCTTGAAGAACCGGATAACGGAGGACCTGAAGCGGGCCGAAAAGGACAATGACATGATCTACCTGCTACCTGTACCGCCAAAGGCAGAGCTCAAGATCCTCGATCGAGCCAACATGGTAGTCTCGAGAGTCCCCAAGGAGATAGCCGAGTCCAATTCGATGCTGGGAGAGCGCGGCGAGCTTGGCCCAGCGCTCTTCTCCAAGCTGGTGCCCTACTCAGTACATCTGGCTGCTAGCATCTACGTAGACCGCCGGGATCGATTAGTCAACGGTACCATCGTAGAAGAGCTAGAGTCATTGACAAATAAGATTCACGAGGTACTCCGCAGCTTAAACTTGCCCGGCTCCTTGCAGGCTCTAGAGAAGCCACTGGGACTTCCCCCTGGTCTCGTAGCACACGCTGAAGAGATTCGTCAACAAGATGGCATCAACCGTCTCTTGCGCTCAATGGAGGATACGAAGAAGCTCATGTACACCGACCAAGCTATATATCAAGAAGGTGTTGATATCCTGAGGTCCGAAGCGACAGAGGACGAAGGCGCACGACGCAAGTTTGGCACAGAACGCTGGACACGACCACCTGCAGAGCAAGCAGCGCCTAAGCTCTATGCCCAGATCAACGAAATTGACGG